TAGCACCAGTCAAAAGCACAGAATCACAGAAGAGCTGAGGTAAGAAGACACCTCTGGAGATCACCTTGTCCAACATCTCCTGTCTAGAGTAAGGTCAAGCAGAGCAGGTTTCTCAGGGCCATGTCCCCTTGGGTTTTGAATATCTCCAAGGACAGGGACTCCACATCATCTGCGGGCAACCTGTTCCAGTCTTCAATCATGCTTACAGTAAAAATGTTTTTTCTTATTTTGGCAACATCCTAGAAAAAGGATAAGCAATTGATCTGAATTATTAAAGGGATTGGTTATAAAAATGTCTATAAAAATAAGCTAAAATAAAGGAATATTTCTGCGAGTATTAGTGGGATAAATCACAGCTAAAAACCAAGTCAGAGCTGCAGGGTGTCAGTAAACTGAGATTTATGTACTATCAGAAGCAAACAGCCTGGAAATCTATGGCACAAATCATAATCTAATACACATGCTGACCCCAGAGAGGTTTCCTTCTGTTATGCTCAAAATCTTGTTTATGGGCAAAGAAAAACACACCTGATATATAAAGCCAAAATTTTATTCTTAGCATAAATGAAATCTTAGTGGTCTAATTCAAGAATCATTATTAGTCTAGATATAATTAACACAGAAGAAGAAAGAACGCATAGTAATACAGTTAGAAATCTCAATAATGGCAATATTACAATTTAATTGTAACAACCACATTTAGTTTTTATCCCTTTTTTCCTGAGGTTATGCTCACTCATCTGCTGATCCTCTGGGCTTAAAATCAGTAGACTCAGATTGCCAGAGTGTAGACAGAGTCATCAGCCTCTGGAGTCCATTGCCAGGAGGAATATGATTTTCATGTAGATGTTTTTCTATTCTTCCCTCTAGGATCTACTTGGGGTCATTTTTATCTGTTTTTTAATATGCTTTTACACCTTGTTTTTTCTTCATTGGTTTCCAGCTCCATGTTACATCTGAATTTACAGGATTTGGTGCCTTTTACATGTGTTAGATACTATTTCTTTGTACTTTTTGTTACATTACTGAGTTGTTTATAGTGTCAGCCTGTGCCCCATCTCTTATAATCCCAGGCCTGTACTTCTCTGCACCACATACATTGTCTCACCTTCTCAAGGCCTGTGCTCTCGTACCGGGCCAGTATCTCTCTACAAAACATCATTGTGCTAGAGTCATAAATATTTCATTTTACGTGAAATATTTATTTACATTTCATTACTGCTATCTACATAAAACTACAGTGGTACCATAGAAAGATAAAGAAGTGACGCAATTTAGCAATTGACACCTGGTCAATAAGAGAAATTGATGTCAGAGCTAAATGAAGTAAAACAAAGCTGCAGGCAGGTCAAGCAAAGTTCATGCAGAGGAAGCCTGAGAAGCCTCCCTCCCGAGAACTTTCACACTCTGTAGAAACTCTGTGGCTGTGACTAGCAATGGCATATTACAGAGCTACACAGGTACACTTTGGAGGGGATGATTGTGCTTCTGAGGTGAAAGCACATCAGGTTCAGAGCTGTAGCAGGTCCTCTTTGGACTATATGCTAGGGCAAGTTCTTCTTTATCTTGCCCGAGGTTCTAGTAATGGAGGCATCTGACATTTCAACTCTGACACCTCTAAACATCATACTTATACACGGGTTTGAAATACAATCCTAAAAACCATCCATTCCCACTTGTCCTCTCTATATAGACTATGCTATAGTGACATTATGCACTTTGAGAAATAACACACTGCATCTGCCTGGTCTTTGCCCTAAATCTCTCTTGATCCAAATATTCTTGCAATAGAATAACGAGAGGTAAAAATTTCCATCTTCATGTGTTTTTTCATTAAGATTGGATGGCTTTTCAATAGATACAGCAGGAAGATAAAAAAATCCTATTGTGACAGTGCAAAATTTAATCGTGTGGTTATGTCAGAGTGCACGATAGCAGTAGTACCTGTCTGCATTAGGACCTACAACTCTATAAAGCTCAGTGGCATTATTCCTCTTGGCTTAATTTCACCTTCACCACAGAGGAGAAAATAACATTTTTCTTTTTTATGTGTATATATACTGGTGAAAGAAAGGAAGAATACACTATTAAACACACACGAGTATCTTTCAGAATGCAGGTGGAATGAAAGGCTCACGAAGAGATGACACAACCAAGTCACTCACTGTCTTCAGATGTGCCTTAGTTTCCCTATTTCTAAAACTGGAGAAGTCATAGCAGCATGCTCTGAGATCAACTGATAAAAAGCAGCATAAAATTTATTAATATGATCATGGATAGATTTTGTCCTTTGTGATTGGCTCCCCACTGGAAGAACCCTAAATCTTAAGACCAATACTGATTTTTAAAAGCTCCCATGAAAAAAGAAATGAAACAGATAATTATTTTTTTATTTACAGATTCCTATTCCCTGTGAATGTTGCTTAAAGAATAGACAATGTATATTTCTTCAGAACAAGAATAGGAAGTTTCAGAATATCAGTGTGTATACCAGGCTCCATAATTAGTTAGCATTCTAATTACCAAAATGTTTTTATAAGAATATAAAAGTTTCCCCATAATAACATGTCAAAATAATAATATATGATCAAAACATCTTGCAAAGGCACAATTTTCCATCTGAAAATGCTGATTCCATGCAATAAAAACATTTAGCAATCATATAGTAATTTTCTTAATTTTCACTTTGATATAATTAAAATGTTTTGAGTTTTTCATTGTTGTATCATTCTGATGTAGAAGATTTATTAGAGGACATATTATGAAAGTTAGAACAATGTAGAGGAGTATAAATGAAATATTTTACAATGTGATCTGTAAAAAAAAGCCTCAGTTTGAGATGAAATAAAATTGCAAATCACAGAAATTACTGTGGGACAGAATTTTGATTTTCAAGTCAGTACTAACTGTTATATTAGTTTGTCATATAATGTTCGTATCTAAGAGAATTACAATAGGAAAAGTGAATCCAAATGTCCTCATAATAGTATTAGTATTGGTCACAAAATAGATCACTTTCCCCAGATCCCTAACTTCCTTGGAAGAATAATCCTGCTTTCATAGTTGTTGAAATTCCTTCTCCAGTTGCTAACATGCAACATCCAAAGATACTTCAGTTTTTGGCAACTAACATTAATTAAAAAATGACAGATTGACAGTAATTTTCAGAGACTGACTAAAACCAACAACAATAAACACAAACTCTCTCAAGAGAGAAGATGTGGAACTTTTCATTTTAGATATGGGAGGAAAGTCTCCATTAGCCGTGTTCATTATCTTGGCTGGGTTTATAGTGAAATTCTAGCATGTCAGGTGAATCTATGGAATGGGAAAATTCCTCTAGATTTTTCATATCCATATTTTCTGGATTTGAGGTCAGTGGGCTCTGGACCAGGGATCTACAAAGCATCTTAGAATGAAAGAAATCCAAGTAGAGTATTTCATAGGATAAGGCTGGCATAGTTTGAGAAGCTGGAACTTTGGTTTTAGTTTGATCCAAAGCGACCTGCGGTCCACAGGACTCTGTTTTAGCAACCTTTGTATCAGACTCTGAAATTATATAATAATGCACAACTATGGAAGCAATGAATTACCCCAAAATATCTCCCTTGCTTGAGAAAGGCAACTTTCTTTGCATAAGGCTCCCCTTCTCTTTGTTGACAGTTGTATTGGTGGCCACGGAAGTAGTGTAGAGAGTCAGATATTCTGTGGGACACAGCCTTGTCTGATGATATCTCTTCCTTGCCCAAAACTGAGCATTTGAAAACAAAAGGAAATTATATTTATACAAAGTTTTAAGATTAAAAGGTTGATCTTCAAACAAGAAAAACGCTTTCTGCTACACTGAGTGCTGAGAGAAAGAAGGTGATTCTGGATCTTGCACATATCGTGACCATGTTGGCAGCTTTTTATAAAATATCTTGTACTGAAAATTAGCAATGGTACTATTTATATCCTAAGAATGGGATATTCAAGGTAACTTACTTGCCCAAATCCCACTGAAATCCAAAGGGCCTGTAGATTCTTAGTATATGTTTTCCAATACTTCTATGCACATTAGGGAAGAATCCAGTCCATCTAACCTCACCTACTCCGAGAAGTAATTATATTTCTTGCATGCGATATAGTCAATGGATATGCTGTATCAGTAGGCCTCCTAAGTTAGGTGCTTAAGAATCATTGATATAAGAGCTTAGATCCCTTGCAGCTTTATGGGAAATTGGCTTAGAGCTGAATATCCATACTTTCAAATGAAAAATTTGTAAGCAAGCCTAAGCTATAAGCAAGTAAAACTACATTTTGATTGATAGTTTTAAATCACAAATTATAAAGTTAATTAAATTATAAATTATTATAGCTACTATTTCCATTATAATATTTGAGTATGGTCTAATAGCACTATTTGTATTTCAAACAGGCCTTTTTTTCATAGGCACTGAAACAGGTGATATGCACCTACCTAACTTTCACTATCCTCCTAAGTTCCTGCATGGTACAAGGAGACACCGATACATATTTGATCAGAGAACAGAGTTAAGGTCCAAGCCCATTGTCAACAGCAGTGTAATGGCTCAAAATTACGTCTTTGACGTCTGTGTTTTCATGTCTATATTCCACTGCAAGAGATATTGGGAATAAACAGCATGGACTAAAAGCATAATGCATAATAAAAACTACTACTTAACTGCTATAAATAGAGGGATAACTGGCATAGCTAGAATATTAATACAGAAAATTACAGCTCAAGAGGAATAGAACAGGAAAATCTGAAGAGTTTTGCTTTATAAAATATATAT